GGCATGTCCCGGGCGCCCGCGGAAGGGTCCGCGGCCTGCGCGAGCCGCCCGGAGCCCGGGGCGAGTGGGCGGCCTGGAAGTGGCCCCGGCGGGCGGGGGGGTGGGCACGGCGCTCCAGCCGCAGACGGCGCGGCGCGGCGGAAGGCGGCCTGGGCGCCGGGGCTGCGGCTGCCGCGGGCGAGGGAACCGCGCAGTCCCGGAGCGGGCGCCGGGCGCCGGGCAGCCTCTGGGGCCGTTGCGCGGGGGGGAGGGCCGAGGCGCCTCTGCCCCTATACCGGCAGCCCCCGGCGCGGGGAGCACGTGTGAGTGGGGGAGGCAGCCCGGTGGCCCAGGCGCGGCGCATTTTCTCCTCTGGGGTGGCCTCGCTTGGAGGAGAAGCCCCTGGGAGCACGACCCTGCGGCCGCCAGGGCTGCGCCAGCCGCGGGTTGGACTCGCGGGCGTTCTCGGCCCCTTCCAGCTCCCCTCCCGTGATTCTGCGATCTCTTCTCATGCATTCCAAGGACATGGGATTACAGACTCTAGCTGAAAGAGACCAGATTTAGACCAGACACCAGAAAAACGTCCTCACTGTCAGAGCCGTACCACAGTGGAACCTCTTACCTGGAGAGGCTGTGGGCTCTCCCTCACTGGAGAAGTTGGAAAAGGTTTTGGGCAGTTATCTAAATGGGGTGGTGCAACTTGGTGCAACGGGACGGGGTTGGACCTGATGGCCCTCTGCCCCTTCCAATTCTGCTACTGGGTGATTCTGTGAGACTTTGCCGGGACACATGCCAGCAGTGCGCGGGAAGCATGGAGCCAGTTCTCACTACCATCCTGCTGACGTATGTTGGCTATCCGCAGTTCTCTTGGTTCGGAGCAGCCACATTGGCCGGCACTGCAAGAGGGGCAATCCTGTGGCCCCTGGGCAAGTGTCCCTTGACAGCGCCTCTCAGGTCAAGAGACGGGGTCCTGCTTTGGATGGGCAAGTCCGAGATCTGACCCTGGATGCTTCCTTTGCACCTGGCACAGGAAGAACCTTGCCGGAAAAGCAACTTTGGAGTGGGGAGAGGGAAAAGAGTATTTTGAAGGGAGTGGGTGAGACTGAGGCCATCTTGATGCCTCTTCAGCTTCCTTTCCTTCCCCTCCAAAGTGCTCTCACTAGATGGACTCAAAAGCTCGTCTAGTGAAAGTGGTTGGAAGCAGAGCTGCCGCTACACCCCTTCCACCCCGCCAGCTTGGGGGCTCCCAATCAATTGCACCTCGAGGGTGGTGGTAGTTTTGGGGGATAGACCTATAGGTTTATATTATGGAGGGTATAGACAGAGGAAGGTCTTCGTTCCTCACAATGGCGGAATCATTCATCTTGTGGATTGAAAACTGGTCTTGGTCGTTCTGGACGAAAAACTTTATCAATGCACTCATAATAGCTTTCTGGACGTCTAGCTGCAAAATCGGGCTCGATGAGACAAAATCATGGATTAGCCATGTTGGACTAAGCGAACCCTCCTTCCGGGACCATTTGCTGGGAGCAAAGCATGCTGGCTTCTTGCGTTGCTCTTGCAGGTGGCCCTGAAATGCAGCTGGAAAGGAGGAAGCGTCTGTTGTCCCATTTCTACACCGCCCTGTAGCGTAGCCCAAGCTCCGAGCGGCTGGCAACAGTAGTCACAGAGTCACGGACTGAGGTCACGCATCCTGATTCGAGCCATGCCTGACCTCACTTAGCGTTCAAGATTAGGCAGGATAAAACACTTCAGGCTACATGGAAGCTTGTGGAAATGGCGCTTGCTCTCCGTCTGAAGGTCAAGCCTGAGGCTGGGCCTGGTCGGGCCCAGATGAATTCCCTGGTCTTTGCATTGGGGGCTGGCGAACAGGCTCCTTTCAGTTATGGTGTCCCTGGTCTGATTCTGCCCCAGGGTCTTCTATTCCCCGCGAATGGAGTGCTGTGGAGAAGCCTCGGCACCTCGGCAGCAGCTCCCCAGAGGCGGACTCAGGTAAGGCTGCCTTTGGGGGCGCCAGACTGCCCCTGCCCCAGCCCTGGTCTCCTTGCCCCGTTTGGTTGCTTCTGACAGTTCTGGTGACAGTTCTGTGCCCCTCCCTTCCGGGGGGGCCAGGCCCGCTCCCCTTCCTCTTGTTGCCCTGCTGACAGGCGAGGCCCACTGGGTTCAGGAAAGCCCTTGGTCTGTCAGCTGGCCGTTCTGGCTGAGTGCCGCTTTTAACCCGCCCCCCCAGCTCCTGTAATGGTCCAGCCTGATTCCATTTCAATGCATTGTTTCTGGCGTGAGTCCACGTGAACGGGGCACGTTGCCTCGAGTGCCACTTTTGGGTAGAAAAGGGGGACGCAGATGAAATGAACAGTGGAACCAGCTCCCCGGCAGGGCGCAGAATTGCGGGGAGCTCTCCAGCCACCCTAATCAAGCCCAGATTGGCTGGCAAGGCGAGTCTGTCTTCACCTGCTTCCGGTTGGCAAAGCAGGGTTTGCCGCACATGCCCCTGTGAAGGTCACTTCTCTGCACCGCTCGACTTGACACGGGTGAAGCATGGTGTAGATTTTCACAGAGGAGAGGAGCTTAAAGCAGGGAGAGATTCTTCCTGTTATTCGGAAGACGAGAGAAGGGCTTGTTCTTCGGCCATCTGCCGAGTGCTTAGGAGCTTCCCGGCTTGGCACAGGCTGCTGTGAAACAAGCTCCTGGCTTGTGCTGAAATACTCCCGGCGTGGGGAGGGAGCAGAGCCCTTGGGAGACCCCCGACGGGTACGTGGGCGGCAGGCTTTCTCCGTGGCACTCCAGTCCGGCGGATTAGGCCGTCCTCTGCCCGGCGTGTAGTTGCTGCCCGTCCCAGTGGCTGCCCAGGCCTCATCCGAGGCACCGCATGTTTGCTTGGTTAGAAAGGAAGGTGGGGCAGAACCGGGCACGCCATCTTGTGCTGTGCCTTGCCTTCTCTTCGTGCACTTTTCCTTCCCTCCCTCCCTGCCCCGCTCAGGATTCCCACCCCGTTCCCCGGCTGGATCTCACCCCTGAGCCTCTAGCTGGTGTGCTGTGGCTGGGAGCTGGGCAGACGCTCTGCTCTGGGGGCAGAACGCGAGTAAATCGGTCCTCTGTTCCAGGTGGAGAGCACGAAGCCAGAGGGCGTCTTCCCGGCCACCATGTTGCCAGGGGACGGGGTGGGGCCAGAGCTCATGCACTCCGTCAAGGAAGTGTTCAAGGTAGGAGGTTTTGCTTCATGGGGGCGCAGGGAGCACCCTGGACCAAGAGCTGGGCCTGGGAGTGCCCCCCCCCCGGGTGGGTTGGGAGGAGGCGAAGGACTGGGCGGTTAAAACGCCCCTTGCCTTGGCACCGAAATGCAGGCACGGCATCCACCTCGAGCCTGGGAGTGCTTGTCTTCTGCCGCCTCGAATTAAGCGCAAACGAGAGAATGCGGGTTGTGCAGCGCTTCCCGCCTGAAGTGCAGCCGCTGGCTGGATGGCCCTTCACAGGGCTTTCCCCGTGGCCGGAGGGGAGGAAATTATGTAGCACGGCTGCTTTGGTCGCTCAGCTCATGCTTCTGCCTGGGGCTGACCCTTGGCGGGCTGTGGCCGGCTGCGGGTCGGAAGAGGATCGCGGGATCAGGCGGGCCCCTGGCAGAACCGGAGCAGCTCCCCCCGCAGGCCCCTGGCCTCCGTTGCTCTTCTGCAGGCCGCCGGAGTCCCCGTGCAGTTCGATGAGCACCACCTGAGCGAGGTGCAGAACATGGCCTCGGAAGAGATCCTGGACAAGGTGCTTGAGTCCATGAAGAAGAGCAAGGTGGCCCTCATAGGTGCGGGAGAGGCCAGCCTGGCCGGGGGAAGGGCGCGGGGCCCTCTGCTGCTCACCCGGCGGCCTGCCGGGGGCTGCCAGTGGGCGGCTGCGCTCCCGCTGCCCGCACACAAGCCGCGAGGAGGAGGAGCAGAGCTGCATGCCTTCCCTGGCCCCCCCCGTGCCGTGTCCCTGCTCACGCGTGCGCTGGGGGCCCTTCTCGTCCTTGCAGGAAAGATCCACACCCCCATGGAGTACAAAGGCGAACTTGCCTCGTATGACATGCGGCTCAGGTAAGTTCCCGCAGCCGTGGGGGGGCCCCGGAGCCGTACGCCACCTTCACGCGCGGCCTGCACCACCGCGCCAAAGTCCTTGGGCTTGTGCCATCCCGGAGACGGCCCCGCTTGGCTCCTGGCGGTGCCGTGCGAGGGGCCAGCGGGGCTCAGCAGCCCTTGTACTGGAACGGCCCGACTTACTCTCTCAGGCGCAAGCTGGACCTCTTCGCCAACGTCGTCCACGTGAGCAGCCTGCCCGGCTACAAAACGCGGCACAACAACCTGGACCTGGTGATCATCCGCGAGCAGACCGAGGGCGAGTACAGCTCCCTGGAGCACGAGGTCAGTCCCCCTGCCCTGCGTCCGCTGGCCCCGTCGGAACGCCGCCCAGACGCAGTGGCCCGGCACTCGTGTGGTCCAGCCGCAGGGGGGAGTGCGGGGTGGCTGTGCAGGGGGCTCCGGCGTGGGGGCTTCTGTTCAGGGGGCTCCGGCGTGGGGGCTTCTGTGCAGGGGGCTCCGGCGTGGGGGCTTCTGTGCCTGTGGAGTGACAGCCTTGGAGGCAGGGCGGGAGTGGTGTGGGGAGGGCGGGGCCCGCCGAGGGGCTTGGGTGGGACGTGGGCAGCTGGCTCAGGCGCCACCTCCCTGCCGTTGCCACGCCGCTCACGGCCAGCAAGGAGTCTGGAGGGGCATGGCCAGGATCCGTAACAGCCCAGGCGGTCCGTGCCCCCAGACGGATGCTCCGAAAGGTGCAACACCAAAGGAAAGCGGGGTGGGGAGGGAAGAGGAAATGAGGCAGGTGCAACGGTCCGCTCTCAAGCTGGGCAGGTGTTCCCATAAGGGCCCGCTTGGAAGGAGGGCGTTTTGCGGGAAGAGAGTCCCATGGGGGCGCCCTGCAGTCTCCTGCCTGCCTGCCTGCCTGCCTGCCTGCCTTCAGTGCCCCGAACCTGACCAGGGCCCGGCTGAGCTTGCTGCCTGCAGAGCCTCGCTGGCTCGCTGGGGGGAGCCTTCCGGTGCCCTGGGCGGCTCGCATGTCTTTCTGCCCTTAGAGCGCGAAGGGGGTCATCGAGTGCCTGAAGATCATCACTCGGGCCAAGTCGCAGCGCATCGCCAAGTTCGCCTTCGATTTTGCCACCAAGAAGGGGCGCTCCAAGGTGACGGCCGTGCACAAGGCCAACATCATGTGAGTGGAGAGCTGCTGGGCGGGCGGGGGCGGGGGCGGGGGCGGGGGCGGGCTGTCCCCGGACTCCCCTCGGGGCTCCCTGCCCCTCCTGGCTGCTGCACCCAGTGCTGGCTCTGCCGTCCGGCTGGGGCTGCGGCTGCGGCTGCTCTCCTCCCCCCGCAGGCTCCCGTCTTGTGGCACCTGGGGGTTGACGTTCCTCGCCTGCAAGCGCTGGCAGTGGCAGAAGGAGCCGGCGCCCCTGGGAGAGCCAAGACCACGTGCCCGGCTTGTGGCGGCGCCAAGGGAACGGTTCTTGCGGGCCTGGGAAGCCCAGCCGGAAGCCACGGCCTCTGTGGTGGAGGAGCGGGGGGGGTGGGCCTGTGTGCGCTGCCAGACAAAGCACGCAACTGGCACCTCGGTTCTGCGCCTGAAGCGCCCGCGTCCTTGTGCAGTAACTTGCCGGGCTGGCTGGACAGGGTGGGTCTTTTCGCTGGCGCTCCTTGAGGCAGTCGCTCCTCCTCATTCCTGCTCCTCCACAAGCTGGGAGAGGAAGGTTGCAAGCCCTCGCCTGCTGGGTGGGGAAGAGGGCCCACCATGGCTCGAAGGCTGTGCAAGTGTTTTTCGGGCGGGGGGGTCCAGTTTCCCTGGAGCAGAGCTTTCCCTGCACGTCCTGCGGGGGAGCCGTGCCGGATCTTGGCCTCCTTCGTCTCAGAGACCGGAGCGCCCCTCCACAAGGCTGCTTCTCCCCCCCTTCCAGTGCGACCACTGGCCTCACCTCCACAGCTGCTCCTGGGGGACGCTGCCGGCCGGGGCTTCTGGGCCCCCCGGCCCCCCCGCCACCACGGCTGCCGCGCTCTGCCGGCCTCCCCTTTGTCCTGCCTCATCCGCCTGACCGGGGCGGGCGCTCTCCGTGGGAGGCACGGCATTTCTGGGCATCACCCCGTCGGGAGCATGGGGGGCTAGTCCAGGGGTGTTCGTCAGCAGAGGCCCCTCGGGGTGCTCAGCCCCCGCCGCCTCCGTTGCCGCATGCTGCCGGCAACTCCGCTGCCCGGGCCCTGCCCCCCCTTGCCCACTCAGTCCCGGGAAGGGTGCCTCCTGTGGCCCCGCCGTGAGTCACAGGCGCGCCCTCTCTCTCAGGAAGCTGGGGGATGGGCTGTTCCTGCGCTGCTGCGAGGAGGTGGCTGAGCTGTACCCCAAGATCAAGTTCGACACTATGATCATTGACAACTGCTGCATGCAGGTAGGCCGGCCCCGCGAGCGCGTGCCCCCCGGAGGAGCTCGCCCTTCCTGAGGCAAGGAGCTGCGGCCCGGCACCGGCGGAGGCGGCTGGCAGGCCCTGCGCGTGGCTGCCGAGGCAGCTGCTGCCCTGCCCCAGGGCTCCTCTGGCTCGTTCCAGGCTGCGGCCCGGAGCACTGAAGCTAAACCCGTGGCGCGACCGCGCCTGGAATGTCGCCTCCCGCCTGGTCTCCTTACCCTAAAACGGACATTATTGCTGTGGCAAAAGGACAGAGAAGGGCGACAAAAACGC